ATCCACATCAAGACACTCCTAGAGAAGCTGAAGGTAGCGAAGGACATTGCCAAAGAGAACATTGGAATTTCACAGGAACTCGCCAAGGAAAGACATGACAGGGGATCAAAGAAACCTTCCTTTGCCGTGCAGGACGAAGTGCTCCTGTACAACCCAAGTGTTAAGAAAGGCAAGTCTTCGAAGTTAACGAAGAAATGGCATGGCCCTTACTACATCACAGAGGTATGCGATAATTTCACTTACCAACTCAGAAGTTGTGAAACGCATGAACAACTCAAATCCAGAGTGCATGCAAATCGCTTAAAACCTTTCAAGTCAAGAAGACAGCAACAAAGAGTCTGTGATCAACCAAGGCAAGCAGCTGAAGATCAGGAAACAGTCACTCAACAGGTTCAAGAAGAAGACCTAGTACCAGACCAATCCACACCTGGAAATCTGTCTGAAGGTGATTCTAAAGAACCAAATTCTGATAGACCCTCAACGCCAATAACAGACGATGATACTTTCTACTCTGTTGAGCGAATTCTGAAGGTCAAACAGGCGAATGGCAAAAGGTACTACCTAATCAAGTGGGCAGCGGATGTTCCAAACTCATGGCAACCAAAAGAAAATATAGCCCCACAACTACTGCAGGAGTACCATGTCACTCACACTACTAAAGGAAGAAGGCGAAGAAGACGACCCAGATACTTTCAGCCCAATAGCAATTAAGCAGGTTTAGGCCTCTCGGCCTATGAGGAAAACTCTTCTGTCTACACGTGCAAACACAACATACTACACAAAACATACAACATTAACACTTTAGATTTGGTTTAGTCTCTTTTCTATAGGTTTAATTACCTATATATTAGTGCTAGAAGTTGTGGCCACAACTCACCGAAGACTAAACTATATCTGAAATTACCAAAACTAACAAGACAATGCTTTCCTTCATTCACAAACATTGCAATCATTCTCATACTTTACTCTTCCTCAGGTACATTTCTACCCCTGCGCCTACTCTTGCAAATCTGGCTACTGCTGCTATGCAGTTCTGAAGTATCTGGAAAGTCTCAACCTCTCCAAAGACTCAACTATGGTATCATCTTCAAACCTGAGTCACAAATTACTTTCGGGTCAGAAGAATGGATCCACACGTACCAAATACCATTACCACAGAACATGGAAATAATCCAGTCAGCAAGGTGTTCAAGAGAAAAAACCAACATGCGACAGGATCTCCAAGGTACAGGACCATCTCAATGCCCTTAAAATGCAGTGCCAAGCACAGCTAAATGAGACACTGCAACAAATACAAACTTTAATACCTATCACAAACCCACTCAAAACAGGTAGAAGCAAAAGAGCTCTGTTTGGATTTATAGGTAGTTTTTCCAAAACACTTTTTTGGAACAGCAACAGTTGACGATGTGAACACATTGGCAAAGCATATAAATGCACTGACCAAAGCTCATACTAAGCTAGCCAATGTTGTGACTAAAGAATCACAACATCTATCTTCATACATGTCAGCTGTTGATAACAGGTTTAACAATGCTATAAAAGCCATTGAAAATAACCATAACATTATAGAAGACACATTGTCTAAAATTACTAACAACTTTAATTTAGTTGAAGGTAAACTATTGACCATGTCTCAATTAATTGCAGAGCAGGTAGCCATGGCAACAACTATTGAACACAAATTGGAAGAATTTAAGTTAGGTGTTCAAGAATTAGTGAAAGGAAAGCTGTCACCATTGCTTATATCACCAACGGTTCTTAAGCAATCAATTCAGCATATTCAAAGACTGGTAAAACAGCAATCTAAACAATTTAATTTGCTTCATAGGTCACCAGCATTCTATTACAATCATGGTACATTTATCTATGCTTTAACGGAAACTAACAAGCTGTATGTATCTGTAAAGTTCCCTCTGTCAGCATTATCTGCACCTTTGAACCTCTTCAAACTAATCTCTTTTCCAGTTCCTCTGAATGATACTTCATTGCATGCAACAAAGCTAATGGATTATTCACCATTCATAGCATTCACACAAGATAAGACTCACTTTACTCATGTTCATCATGATCAAATGTCAAAGTGTAATGGGGTGAAAACACTACACTGCCCATTTAATCTGGCACTTGTTTCAGCTACAGCACTAACATGTGAAGCTGCACTATTCATGAATAGCAAAAGTGATGTAAAAACTTTGTGTGACTTTCGTATGCTCTTTAATCACCATCATCAACAATTAATCCACATTGCTTCAACTACTATTATTGTTAATCAGATTCCATTACTTACACTCAAATGTCCATATGGTCAAAAGATGATCAAAGGATGTTCCTTCTGCATTATGTCTATTCCATGCCTTTGTAGCCTTTCCACTGAAACACTTTTCTATCAAGCACAGCTTGGTTCCTGTCACAACGATACTAACACGGTCTCAAAGTTGCACCCAATCAATCTGGCACTTCTCCAGCACTTCTTTGAGGAAAGTAGTTACGCAACCATTTCTGGAGATTCGGTTTTCCCATCACCAATCAATGTAACTATTCCGAAAATGCAAGTGTATTCCCATACATATTCAAAATTCTTAGCGCAAGATAGAAAAGATCATCTAAGTCTCAAAAGGGTAGCAAATAGTGTTAAAAATCAACAAAAGATCTTTCAGTCATTGACTGAACCCCTTTTGGATGGCCAAATTGCCATAAATTCATCATGGTTTAGCAATAGCAATACCATTGCCATTATTTCTTGTATATTAACATTGGTCTCAATCATGTTTTCTCTTTGGATATTCATCAAATTTAGAGCACTCTCGGCAGCTGTTTTACTTGTAACAAAGGCATCGCCAGCAACAGCTGCAGCTCTTCCTTCTTTTGAATATCATTTTAGTTCAACAGTCCCAACTATTGATATCCAATCATCTGTAGTTGATTTTTATGAAAATATACCTATAGGCATAGCTGCTATGCTAATAATTCTGTTAGTAATAGCACTATACATGCTATGTAAAGGGAAGTCTCAGCCTACCGTTTTAGCTCTAGAGATAACCACAGGTTCTCTTTGTACCATTGTTCCAATATTATCCTTATCATTATGTCCATCTCACTGGAACATTAGGGCCCCAACTTTAATAAGCAATGTCAGAGTCAAAGGTGTACTAAGACCAAAACTTTACCTCCAGTGGAAAGATTTCAAGGTCTCAAATAATAGAAACACTTGTACTCTTAGAATTCCAGAGGAATTATCATTATCCTTATCTAAGGCCCACTTAATTAGAAAAATCCTGAGACAACCTTATGAGGCACACATTTTGTGTATTCACCATGGCTTTTACCAGGTTATAGAATAACTCTGGACCTGTTGTGGTCACCTTGTATCCCAAGTATATGTTTGAACCACACCTTTGTTTTATAGAACCATTATGTGTCATTATGTATATGTCAGGTCTATTTTTCATTTTGTGTTATTTGTCATCATCATGTAATTAAATTTCTTTTGGGGACAAAAGTTTTTAAGGTCCCGGGGGAATTGTTATCGTGCTAAAATTAAGCAAATATATATAAAATATAATTGATTAATTTAGCTTTATTGTAAATATTTGGTTTGCGATCGTATAGATATAATATTAAATTCTTTTGGGTACAAACATATGCTCTCTCAATACATTTGGTTTATTATAAGCAGTGATCGCTTTAGGCAAACATGTCACTGCACAGAAAATCTATGCCTGCACTGCGGTGCAATAAAATGTAAAAAGTCAATGGGACTATTGTGCACAGGTAACTCTTCCCTCCGGTCATAGCTGTCAATACGATGGACATAGGCAGTTAAAACAAAGATGGTTTATGTTTGACATGCGAGCTGGTCATCTTGAATGGAAACTGTGTGCGTGGCACGAGATGACAAATCACTGTGTTCCGGGTTAAGGGGTATATATGGAGGGCAGGTGTAGGTCCTAACCATCACTTGCACTCCAGAAATAAACGGATCACGTCACAATTCTGTGCTCACGGTTTCCTTCTCTCTTCAAGGTAAGCAGCTCAGTAATTCTTATTGATGTATACATGTTGTTTTGTTATATGCAATACTGGTGTATTATTGTAATTAGTGATTTTATTATAATGTTACATAAGCGTTACTTTGACCTATGTGTACAAGGTGTATTCCCAGACTTGTATGCAATGCTTAGGTCAATTACGTTGTTAAACTATATTGCAAACTGCAATATAGAATTTCTATGACAAATAGTATTTCATAAAAGTAATCATTGTATCGCCCTTTGCGACTTGTATGTTAAGACATGACGTTGTCTCCCTTCATTACAAGCGACGCATCTAAATGATTACCACCCTTCACGATAAATGTAATGTGTCAGATTTGTAGAGTTCATATTGTAATGTATATTGTGTAATGTGTTGTTTGATTTAATTATCAAGTCATTAATGGACCATGTTAAACTATAGGCTAGGTGCAGCGTATCACGCAAACTACCTTTTACATATGTGAACCTGGAGTTAATTGAGATATTTCGTGGATCATTGCTTTAGTAGCCTCCGGCCACACTCGTACTCTCTATCCACCAGGAGCCCCTTTTTGTCTACATTGTGTATCATTAACCTGTACTCATGTATAATTGTCTTTAGGTCACATGTGTTTCATTGTATGAGTTTATTGTGAATAAGAAAACATGTGACACCATACTTACTGTAAAAAAAGGTTGTTAAGCCATTACCGCAATAATTCTAAAATATGGAATGTTTAATATTACTTACTGTTTATGAATATCTTCGAATTATCAAACTTCCGTTTCATTTATTTTATATATTGCACGGTATATGAATTCTTATAAATATTATGTTATTATACAATCTTGTGGATTGTTCTGTAACATCACTTGCACTCCAGAAATAAACGGATCACGTCACAATTCTGTGCTCACGGTTTCCTTCTCTCTTCAAGGTTCCCCAACAACACAATTCCCCATCTTAAGTGAGGTCTCTACTTCTCAACAAGGAGGAACTTGTGAACTTGTGGAACAGTCGTTGTAGTAGACCATGACGTAAGCTGACGTGTTAAGATTTGGATTTCTGACGTCATAGGCTGTCACCTTCATCACCTCAAAGGTCACCTGGAGGTCAGTTGTGCCGTTCGGCAAACGTTTGAACACCAACGCCCTCCTCGCTTTGTCTAGTCTGGTATAATTGCTGTTATCAGGTGTCATTGTAAACGTCAAAACAGACGTGACGTCATAATCAGTGACGTTAAAAGTTAATAGCACCTGTTCCTCGTCCTTCGTGGGACAACCAGTATTGATTCTGTAGAATCCCTCGGAAAACACCGGGGCATTGTCATCTGCGTCAGTGAGGAACAGTTTTAGTGTGCGCACAGAATACTTGTTCGGGGCGTGTCTATTCGTGGCCTTGACATTGATTATATAGAAATTTACACCTCCAGTTTGTTTGTCACAGTCAAGGACGGTGAGCGCCTTTAAGTACCCTTGCCTCTCATCTATTGTGAACTTGCCGTATGCAACCTTTCTCATATCTGCAAATAACACGGATTAATGTTCATGTTTATTTCACTGAAAAGATAAAATGTTCTTTTCATTTTCTATGCGTTATCATTATCCTCTGAAGACAACTAACGATAGTACATTTTATGAATTATTAACTGTTGATATTTCAGAAGCAAATATCATGAATTAGCAATGATGATTTGAGAGAAGGGTGCTCTGTGTTCACCGTTGCCATGATGAAGACGATCCTGTACATAGTCATAGTTCGCTGGGCGCACCTCCATCACTAGTTAGCGCTAATACTTCGTCTATAGTGAACGCATAGGGCTGTCAATCGGTGTAATTGTGCCACAAGTCTACCATACGATGACATATGTCAACCAAATCTAACAACCCGATCCCGTTAATCGCCTCTTACAACACGTATGGTTTGCTGAAGACCCAATTTTAACCCGGATCTTCACGGATCCAGAGTGAGTGAGTGATTACGAAACTGAGTGAGGGAATACGTTTTAAGGCTGCTTTAGCAATATTCCAACAATATCATAGAGAAACAAAAGGAACGAGGTACAAAATCTGGAATCGAACCCTGGCCCTCTGTGCTACCAGTGAACCTTAACCAGGTTACCATCCCGGGCCTGGAAGTGAATGAACTCAGAGAACTTGGAACCCATTGCCGGGTATTGCACGAATACTCACGTTAGGTGGCTACAAGAGAAATATTACCGTTCATACAATGCAATCCAAGCATTCACTCAGGACTGGCAGATTTTTGTGAAAAAGAATTCCATGATTTTCCAAGACAAATATTGCTTTTTCCACACACAACAATATATGTCCTATGGTATTTTGATACCTTTACACATATATTACTGTGTCTGAAATAAAACAATATCTTAAATAAGACCTCCCATCGCCCCTTACAACTGTCCATCAAACACTGAATACATCTTAATTTTAGTACCACATGCATTTAAGCAATTATTCACATACAGTCAAATCCAAATGAGTCGAATCTCTGGGGACCAAGTAATAAATTCGACTTATCGATGTATTCGAGACATAAGGTATGTCTATGAGGGTAGAAAAAAGATGATCCAGTCCTAATTCCTCCGCCTAAGCATTTGTTTATCTAATGTATATGCAAACTGATCTAGATACACATGTTGATTTCTGCCATAGCCCTTGTAGTATTGAAATCGTGTGGTTACTGGTCTTAATACACGACTTCGTCTAGTTGATAATTTTGTGAGGCCTCCTCCTTGTTGAGAAGTAGAGACCTCACTTTAAGATGGGGAATTGTGTTGTTGGGGAACCTTGAAGAGAGAAGGAAACCGTGAGCACAGAATTGTGACGTGATCCGTTTATTTCTGGAGTGCAAGTGATGTTACAGAACAATCCACAAGATTGTATAATAACATAATATTTATAAGAATTCATATACCGTGCAATATATAAAATAAATGAAACGGAAGTTTGATAATTCGAAGATATTCATAAACAGTAAGTAATATTAAACATTCCATATTTAGAATTATTGCGGTAATGGCTTAACAACCTTTTTACAGTAAGTATGGTGTCACATGTTTTCTTATTCACAATAAACTCATACAATGAAACACATGTGACCTAAAGACAATTATACATGAGTACAGGTTAATGATACACAATGTAGACAAAAGGGGCTCCTGGTGGATAGAGAGTACGAGTGTGGCCGGAGGCTACTAAAGCAATGATCCACGAAATATCTCAATTAACTCCAGGTTCACATATGTAAAAGGTAGTTTGCGTGATACGCTGCACCTAGCCTATAGTTTAACATTGTCCATTAATGACTTGATAATTAAATCAAACAACACATTACACAATATACATTACAATATGAACTCTACAAATCTGACACATTACATTTATCGTGAAGGGTGGTAATCATTTAGATGCGTCGCTTGTAATGAAGGGAGACAACGTCATGTCTTAACATACAAGTCGCAAAGGGCGATACAATGATTACTTTTATGAAATACTATTTGTCATAGAAATTCTATATTGCAGTTTGCAATATAGTTTAACGTAATTGACCTAAGCATTGCATACAAGTCTGGGAATACACCTTGTACACATAGGTCAAAGTAACGCTTATGTAACATTATAATAAAATCACTAATTACAATAATACACCAGTATTGCATATAACAAAACAACATGTATACATCAATAAGAATTACTGAGCTGCTTACCTTGAAGAGAGAAGGAAACCGTGAGCACAGAATTGTGACGTGATCCGTTTATTTCTGGAGTGCAAGTGATGGTTAGGACCTACACCTGCCCTCCATATATACCCCTTAACCCGGAACACAGTGATTTGTCATCTCGTGCCACGCACACAGTTTCCATTCAAGATGACCAGCTCGCATGTCAAACATAAACCATCTTTGTTTTAACTGCCTATGTCCATCGTATTGACAGCTATGACCGGAGGGAAGAGTTACCTGTGCACAATAGTCCCATTGACTTTTTACATTTTATTGCACCGCAGTGCAGGCATAGATTTTCTGTGCAGTGACATGTTTATAATTAGTTAGTGATCACTGCTTATAATAAACCAAATGTATTGAGAGAGCATATGTTTGTACCCAAAAGAATTTAATATTATATCTATACGATCGCAAACCAAATATTTACAATAAAGCTAAATTAATCAATTATATTTTATATATATTTGCTTAATTTTAGCACGATAACAGTATTGTCAAGACACACATTTTTGTTAGCTAAAATACCCAAGATTATTCCATGATGTTTCCATGGTTTCATCCGTTTTTTTGCAAATTCCACGATTTTTCAAAGACTGGAAAATGGGGTCTGAAATGTCCAGGTTTTCCAGGTCTTGTGGGAACCCTGTCACTGGCCGAAGGTTTTACTGATTTTTTTAAAAGCGACATCACTGTAAAGTGGCTGTATGTATTTATTTAGGATGCATTTATTAAGGTTATTAAGGCAATGTTAAATTCAAACGTTGGACGGATTCCGGTTCTGGACAATAATACATCAGTTAAAACCAATATTTCAGGGGATTTACGATGTAAATCAACACGTAACAGGTCTATGGCTGTTCGCCATACGTAACCACAATTTTCAAACAACCGAAAGCAAGAACAGCAAAATTGAAGTCCTCCAAAGCTCTGGTTCACCATGTAGTTCATAAATCTGATTGGTGATGGTCAGCATTACCAACGCCACATTTTCTGTGAATTTTGACACGATTGACAAGGTTCAGGAAATCTTTATGAATATGCGGACCTCACTTGCGTTGGTTGGTTGATTTGTTGCTTAACGCCACACTCAGCAATATTCCACAATATTCCACAATATTCCACATGGGTACAATACGTGAAGCCCATTTTCGGATTTTGCTGGAACTTTGCTAAAAGCGGGGTAAAACTAAACCCACTCACCCGCTCATCATGTTTTAAAACCGGTCATTGATTCAGCGTGCATTCGAATTTTCAAGTTCAGTTCCCTATATATCTAAAGCTGACACCTTTGTTGGGTCGATACGGTGAAGATTCATTTATCTGACTAGTTCATCCTTAGTGAGTGATTATCAGTAGCTGTCATGTCTTACTGAATGACACCACATACACATTTAATGTAAGAAAGATTCACAAACCTTCTCCAAGGAGAATGTGTCGTCTCGATGTATTCATCTGATACTTCACCCGACTCACCTGCCTGTTTCATCACTAACCTACCCGTGAAGAGTGAGTGAGTGAGTGAGTTAAAATTTAACGTCACATCGGCAATATTTCAGCCATATCGTGACGACTACCCGTGAAGATCCGGGTTAGAATTTTGATCTTCAGTAACCCATGCATGTCGCCAGAGGCAACTAACGGGATCGGGTGATCAGGCTCGCTGACTTGGTTGACACATGTCATTGGTTCCCAGTTGCGAAGATCGATGTTCGTGTTGTTGATCACTGGATTGTCTGGTCCAGACTCGATTATTTGCAGACGGCCGCCATATAGCTGGAATATTGCTGAGTGCGGCGTAAAATTAAACTCACTCACTCACTCACTCACTCGTCACTAACCTGACATGACCGACGCTATGCTGTACACGATGTCGCCAGGGCTGCTGCCGGCGCCCAAGGTAGCGTTGAACGTCGTGATCGTCGTGAGAGGGGGGTAACTTTCAGGGATCTTGAGCTGGGGGATTCCTGGGACGTTTCCTCCCGCTGGCCACACCCACTGTGGCGTGTTGTCGTTCGCTCCGGACACCTGGGAGGGGGAGAAACTGGTCATAACCCTTGCAGTCCGATCGGGGATTTCGAATTGTTATGTTCAACATAAAAACATAAAATACGCAAGAAATGGGTTTCACACATTGTACCCATGTGGGGAATCGATCCCGGGTCTTTGGTGTGACGAGCTAACGCCTTAACCACTAGGCTACCCCACCACTCTGAGGTTGGTTGGTTGTTGTTTAACGCCGCACTCAGTAATATTCCAGCTATATGGCCGTGGTTTGCAAGTCATCGAGTCTAGCCCCTAGGAGCTTCCAAAAGACCACTGGAACAACATGCTATAGTATTTCTATCGATATAGTTTAACAATGAGGTCATTTCGTAACATTTCACATATCTGTATAAACTTAACTCTTAACACTCTAGGGGCGATGGGGTAGTCCAGTGGTTAAAGCGTTCGCTCGTCACGCCAAAGAACTGAGTTCGATTCCCTATGGCACAGTGTGAAGTACATTTCTGGTGTCTGCCGTCGTGATATTGCTGGAATACTGCTAAAAGCGGCGTAAAAACATGCTCATTCACAACACTCTAAACGCAGTACCATCTTCAATGTATTATACTTACTTCTCATGCATATCAGATTTGTACGTTGAGTTTGCTTACTTCTAACAGGTTTGTAGAAACAGGGGGGGGGGAGGCTTGGGCTTAGCACACACACACACACACACACACACTATTTTCAAGTCGAAAGCATATCTACCTTACCATAACTACAATTTCATTTTGATTTTCAATACTTTTCATAAATTAAATGACCGAATGTCTCGATAAAGCGAAAAGCCTGGTGATCCGTTAAGTTTTGCTTATCTGGATTATTTGTCATAATGGTAGTATCTTTTTTAAAGATACTGGAATCTCACCACTATCTTATTCAAATAAATAAATAAATAAAAAACCGTAACTTAATAACGTGGAGTCGTTATACATTTGCATCGGGAAATGGTTATTCGACATTATTGACAATTTACACCAGAAGTTAACACATTTTACAACAATAATTTACATAAAAAACGATGCCCACCGCATTCTGTTAAAATTACAGTAACTGATACCCATCATCCGACACCGAAAACATATTTGCGAAACTTGGTGTGAAATTTGTCTGAATTTCAACATCAAGTCTGGGGTGGTGGGGTAGCCTAGTGGTTAAAGAGTTTGTTAGTCACGCCGAAGATCCGGGTTCGATTCCCACATGGGTACAATGTGTGAAGCCCATTTCTGGTGTCCCCCGCCGCGATATTGCTGGAATATTGCAAAACTGGCGAAAAACCAAACTCACTCACTCACTCAACATCCAGTCTCAGCTCCACGCGTTATAATTCGCTAAACCTTACCGTCAAACAATTTAAGTACATTTGTTGGCATAAAATTGTTGTATTTCGTTTAATTACCAAAATGACCTGTCTTGTATCTTACAAAGAACAAAACTACATTTACTCAATGACACAATGTTTGAAAAAATAAATGTTGCACTATGTAGATGGTTTAATTGGATGAACAACCATATATCATTTTTCATAGAATCAAAGAATACCGTCATTTAGAAATACCAATATATTCGTCTTATGTACATTAAATACCAACGAGGAGAGTTCTATGTACATACAACTACTTCACTATTAGTATGAGCGGTGTAGCTGCTAACACTGTTATCAAGCAAGTGATGTACAATACTAAAGGCAAGGTTATATATACAAAGTAAAGTTTGAACAGTAAGTGATTGGTGTTTGCACAATTAATGATGTTAATGTACAAGGTTGGAGGATGTTTAGAGGATGTTTACACAAGAAGGCAATTGTTACAAACAGACTAAGCTACGAGGTGGATTATTGGGAGGAAGCCAGTGATAGATAGATATGTATTTCCTCCACAATTGAAGATTACAAGGGTACAGTTTAAATGGTTACGACAGGTTTATTACGTCACTTATATCATGGTGTATACACGTTACGACGATGTATATCCACAGACCTCTCCCCGTTGTTCACCACACCAACTTCTAAATGCCACTCAAAGAAGTAATGCTAAATACGTCTTGCAATATCAAAGATTTGCGAAACAAATCTAATTGACAAATAATTAACAATCAAACAATAAACAGTTATTTGCAATAACATAACAGTATAAGCATAATCCATGGCATGACACTAAATGACATTACACGATACTAAGTAACACCATACGATATGTTTTGTTTGCTTGCTGGCTGTTAAACGCCTCACTCAGCCACATTCCAGCTATATGACGGCGGTCTGTGATTAGTCGAGTCTGGGCCAGACAATTCAGTGATCAACAACATGAGAATTGATCTACGCAATTGTGATACATTGGCATGTGTCAACCAAGTCAGCGAGCCTGACCATCCGATCCCGTTAGTCACCTGTTACGACAAGCATGGGTTGCCGAAGACCAAATCTAACCCGGAACTTTACGGGTGACACTAAATATCTTACATGAAAGTGGTTAGCGACACTACACACTTTGAGAAGGTACCTCTATCTCCACTAACGCTGTCGCTGTGTTTGACAGGGACGTGTCGGACTCTGTCGCCTCCAGCATCACAGTAAACCCCTCCCCAAGCTGGTCGATGCCCTTCTCCTTGTCCTTAATGTCCAGCTCAAACACCGCGTCAGTCCTTCTGATGACCAACTTGTCGGAGAACTCTGTTGGTTTCATAATCACCGTCAGGTTGACGTTGTCCTCCAGGTCCCGGTCCTCGCATCGGATCCTGGCTAATGGTTTCCCTGGAGACGATACATAGCAATCTCATCCGACTGTCTTTTCATGTCAAATACACATCAACACCCGCCAAGTCTCTCCTGTCAACTAATTTCACAACGTTATGATGCTTTCCCCTATTTGCACTGTCCACACTTTGCCTGTCACTATAACACTATGTATACGTGCCTTATGTACAATAAACCATCTTGATCTTGATCTTGAAGTCGATGTTCCCAGTGTTGATATATTTCATATCAAAAGGCGCAATGGTGGTATTCTATTTGTCACCCAAAACCTTTCTCACAACTTGGGATGGGGAAGCCTAGTGGTTAAAGCGTTCGCTAGTCACGCCGAAGACCGGCGTTCGATTTCCCACATGGGTACAACGTGTGAAGCCACTCTTTGGTGTCCTCCGCCGTAATATGGCTGGAATATTGCTTAAAGCAGCGTAAAAGGACCTCACTCACTCAGAATGCAGGATTGAATGCACACATATCTATTGACCGGACAATAACATCAGGAATTCAGACCATAGAATCGTAATTATTGAGTACACAGTTAAATTAAAATTAATGTTTTTACTGATGCACTATCAGTTTCCATATTAGTTACTGTCAGTGAACCGTCTTACAGATCACTTCATTTTAATGTTACCAACTGATGAAATGTTGATCATGTTACTTGCTGATTAAACTTTTAACGGTACTTACTGATGAAATTGAATGTTTGAAAACCGACCTCGAAACAATCCAAAGCTGTGCCGATCTACTTTAAGACAGCCTAATTGGCTTTTATATGTCGTATTGATACAAATATAACTCTGGACTTTGCTGTTAAATAACATGCTATAACTGGGTATTTGGTTTCCTTGTGTTATTCCATGATTCTAACTCTGGGATCTTTATATATATGATGTTGTTATATTTGTCTACGAGTTCTTTGACCTTTTCCATATAGAACTAAAGACAAATATGCTCATCGTCTTAAAATGGCAAAAGACGGGGATACGGTAATATCAGTTTTATGGGGTAAGAAATGCTTTACAGAAAAGGCTTTAAGGACCGTTCATAATTTATCCCCCCGGGGTGGGGGATGGGGGTGTTGTTGATGATTTTAAGGGGGGGTCACCCATTTTGTTCTGGGGAGGTAGGGGGGTCATCAATTTTGTACACATGTTTGTAGGGGGAGTCAGCAAAAATATTTATAAAATATGCTTTAGAGATCACATATACTCTAGGGGGGTACAGTACATAAATCACTAATTGGCATCGTTATAAATGAAACCCTAGGCCTGTCATTAAAACTACTCATTTCGATCTTTAATTAACTTAAATCGACCTTTTTGACAACAGTGCACAATTCTCACCCGCGAACGAAATTTCATCCAATCAGAGCGGCGCGTCTCCGTGACGTCATATGAGGAATAGCTATGAGGCCCGATGCAGAATTCATGTACATTTCAGGGGGTAAATTATCTTGTTTACAAGTTTGTATAAACCTGAAATCGTGACAATCTCACAATCTACTATCATTTAATTTTGTATCCTGCTTTGCCTAGTTTCCGAGTTACAACTTGTTTTCATAGACGATTCTGTCAAAATCGCTTGGTGTCGCTAAGCCATATTTTGTTCGAGCCAGACGCTAGTGATAGTGAAAACGATGATCAGCCTCGCTCATCACGGTTACAGTTAATTTCTTCAACCTAAACAGTACGACATTAAGACGGGTGGATGCCCATCAGATGCAGTTATTTGAAAATATCCCCGGTAGTTCTTGTCTGATTGTAATACAGTATCAATGCAGTGGGCTTTTTCAGGTTTTCTAATGCCTGGATGGTATAATGACTGATCCAAATTGATCCCATTTCTGTGTTCTTGTTACCTCGATATTTAATCATGTCATGTAAAAATATGACGTCTATTACGTGTGATATTAAAAATTGACATTTGATTTATTTGAATCCGTAAACTAAACAACCCTACTTTGCCAGTGCTAGAAGAATCTGAAAATTTACTTAGGTAAATAGGTACATACAGTTTTAGCACACTGCAAATGCTTATATGTATTTCTTATGCAACAATGAAGTTATGTTCGTATTCTCAAAACAGTGTCGGCCCATAAGTTTCACATGCAATTAAAATTGCATGCAATACAGCAATTAATACTCCCTTGTTGTAACCCGTGTTAGGTGGTATAAACCTACACATGTTATTTCTCATCATTCACTTGATGGTCAGTTAATGAAATTATAACAGGTATAATTAGTGGTAAGAATGGCGGACATTATGCAATTAGTTGCCAGGTGTGCTATCTTGGGTGACCAATGAGACTATACACCAATGTGCAATACCTGAAACGATATATCACTTTTTCGTATATTAGACTGTTAAAAGACACATCACTTGGAACAGCTGCAGATGAATGTCATATCACTCGTTTTTGTGGATATTGACGGATACATTCCTCGAACAAGGTAATAGCCTGACATTGTTCCTAAAACTTTAATCTGTTTTAATTTTAATATTTGCATTTTGTTTTTATTCATTTGTCGTAGCATTCAACAGAATCATTGTTTTCGCCGTGAAGTGTAATGATACAGACAACATACACTAGGGCGTGTGTGCGAATTATGATTCACATTGGCAAACTATAAAATGTCTAGATATTAGAGTCCTGTTATAAATTCACTATACGTATCAGCATATCGTCTGCTTTTTATTTAGTTTCAAAATGCATACAAGTATGATAATAAACTAATTAGGATTATCAGACCAAATATAAAGACGTACATTGACTAGTATCTACATACTGGTGAGTGGACGTTAACCACGTGAATGTAGCAAGAAAGTTATCGCGCAGTATTGTCACTTCGACCTCCACCTCGCTTCCGTGGAAGAAATCGTTATGTTACAAGTTGTGTCATGGAAAATCCTTTTGGCCATGATTCAAATACATATGTAACTACGAGTAGAAAGTAGTTTTGATTTTCTAATTTGATGAAAACAAACCATAATCTCATTAATTCTAACAGACTTTAGCCCGTGACTTGACGATTTTGAAAAATGGCGGCGCCCTGTCGCGAACATCCGCCAGTCTGAAGATAAATGCTATTTAGGTTTGTTTTCACCGAGTTACAAAATCAAAACTACTTTCTACTGGTAGTAAAATATGTATTTGATTGATGGCCAATAGGATTTTGCATGACATATCTTAAAACATAACAATTTCTCTCGTGGAAACGAGGTGGGTGTACTTACAATATTATTGTTACTTCGACCACAACCTCGCTTCCGAGGAAGAAATCGTTATGTTACAAGTTCTGTCATGGAAAATCTTTATGGTCATCAATCGTATACATATTTTACTACAACTAGTAAGTAGTTTTGATTCTTTAACTTCCGTGAAGCGATCTGAACACAAGTAAGATATCGTTTCAGGCTTCCACAACGCTCGCTTCGCACTCACAAACATAACCCATTTAGCACGAACTGCGGGGTCTTGTGGAAATCTGTGCATGGTGACACCATCGCCCGACCCCTAGGAACAATTGACGACAACGCAACGATTCGGCATGTCTTCGTTGATGTCGAGAAATCATCAAAATGACGAGCTTGCTACACACTTTATATACAACTAACTTAAATTCCTTCCTCATATTACGTCACTGGAGTGCTCTGGCGACAGAGTTACGTAACCTCTTTGTGGTTTCGTTGGCGAGCGAGAGTGAAGCAGACGACTTTTTGGCAACTTTTAATCGCTCGGTATTAATTAACCACAAGTTTTTTAAGAATGAATTTGGAATTCCGCATAAGACTAACCACCAATCTCTCATATGTAATGGTTAAAAGAGTACCAAAAAACAAAGTTTATTTGTTCTTTAAAAATATGGAAAAGGGAGGGGGGTCATTGACTTTGTACATGACATGCAGGGGGGTCACGTACTTGTACATAAATTTTAGGGGGGTGGTCATTCACATTGTACATGCTACTCCATAAATATCATCATCACCCCCCTAGCCATAAATTATGAACGGTCCCTAAAGATACTACTACTACTACAAATCTTTAGGGTGCCTTTGTACCAGTGTTTTAGTCACCCAATCACTCATTCACGCTTATTAACTGTGCCATACTCAAACATATTTCGCTCCTTTCCAGAACAATGTCTATTCACTCTCATTACCAGTACAATGCTCATTCACACACTCACTCACTTTCAATGCCAGTACAATGCTCGTCCACTCACTCATTCATTCTCATTAACAATTCCACGCTCATCCGCTCACTCGCTCATGTCATTACCACTCTTTCATTCAATCTCTTATTCAAAGTACTATGCTCATTCACTCCCATTAACAATGCCATGCCCATTCACTCACTCATTCACTCTCATTCAAGGTACTATGCTCCTTTACTGAATCATTCACTCTCATTCAAAGTACTATGCTCTTTCACTAACTCATTCACTCTCATTTAAAGTACTATGCTCATTCACTCAGTCATTCACTCTCAAACGCAATGCCATGCTCAGTTACTCATTCATTCACTCTCATTTAAAGTAGTATGCTTAGTTACTCACTCATTCATTCTCATTAATAATACCAAGCTCATTCACTCACTCATTCACTCACTTTCAATGCCAATATAATGCTCATCCACTCACTCACTCACTCACTCATTTTATTACCACTCACTCATTCACTCTCATTTAAAGTACTAAGTTCAGTTACTCACTCATTCCCTCTCAGTACTAATGGCCAGCTCACCCACTCATTCATTCACTCACATTACTAACACCATGCTCAGCGCTCTCACCTACTCTCATGAAGTGCCATGGTCCCCCTCACTCTCTCCTCACCTGTATCATGCGGCTCCTGGAGTTTCACCTTGTATACGACCTCATCGAAACGAGGAGCATTGTCGTCGAGGTTAACCAGTCTCAAGGACAGATTTGCACGTGCTTTACGACCCGCTTCGTCCTCGACCTGAAGTGTTAAACTGTCAAGTACACGAGGTGAAGTGGAGTTTTCATAGTCCAACCTGTTCACCATCGTGAGTTCTCCAGACAAATCGTTGATGGCAAAATACTTGGAGTGCTCTCCTGAAACAAAATAGCTCTACAGTTGGTGCTGGAACAGATAATTAAGAAATACATTTCCCCCAAAACAAAGGGTATTTACTTCTAAAAGCCATTCCTTGAACATGCGGATGTGCTGTAAAATATGAACAAAGGAAAAATTACTGGTTCCCTATTAGCATATGTCTTGAATCTTCTTGTATGCTTCTTGTCAGTGTCTCTTGAGTGAATCTTAAAATTACACTCGGGATCTACAGTGACAAGGAAAGGATCGATGGGAGATGAAGGTCCATTTGGACAGGACTAATTTCCGCTAAGTAATTTGCAATGAGGGACGATCAACGTACCTCTCACATTTCAACAAAGACTATATTGAAGTAGCGCTAATATTGTTTGATGAAGCGGACCCAGAGACAAACAATCTTTCCACAGGAAAGACCGGAGCGTTTTCTTACAGTACTCCTCCACAGCAAGAGTTCTAAGATCCACATTATTCTAAGGTTTTGGGGGTTTAAACTACCTGTCGTGTAACCTCACTCACCTTCTAGATTGTACTTAAGACCTTTGCCTTTGTCCATGTCTCTCTGTGTGACGGTATACAGCCCTGGGATCGCTTCCCCTAAGGGGAGTTCTTCTGGGATGGTTTGTGTTGCAGACAGCTGAATCAAAGGGGGTTCATCCTGAACGTTCGTGACGCTGACCAGGATGGAGGCGTTGGTGTCCAGTTTGCCCCCTGTTGCTCTGTTAAAAAGAAACACGGTTGTTCAAATACCGTAATAGTTGCGCAGGACATGACCTGAAATAGATCCCGTCATCGTTGTTTTAGTAGCACGACGAAACGAAATTGGGTGGTTTTGAGGGATGGCACGTCATGGTGTGCATAGGTTTTCATGTTCGTCTGTCACATACTCAATTATTTAGAGTAAATATGAACATTGACATTGGAGCTCGACTATTTCTGTGTGAAATACGCATCAGGACCCACTTTGGCAAGTTATCTTAGCGCCAAGATGACCGTATTTCAATAACCCTAAAATACATGTACATGATACCACAGACGGTCGTAGCGTTGAGGCCGCTTTGTGGGTCCTGAATTATATATTATACAGATACTAGTCCAGCTCCAATGCCCAGAGGGGCGGTGGGGTAGCCTAGTGGTTAAAGCGTTGGCTCGTCACGCCGAAGACCCGGGTTCGAATCCCCATGGGTACAATGTATGAAGACCATTTCTGGTGTCCCCCGCCGTGATATTCCTAGAATATTGCTAAATGCGGCGTAAAACCAAACTCACGTACACACTCGACCATTCTCCTTCCGAAGAATATTTTCTGTTTCATTGTCCCTGAGACCCTATCAGATGCTGGGAACATTGTGTCGGGAATGTTCCCTGACTTTTGTCGCCTTTGAATTTGACGAAGTACGAGTAATGTATTCGTTTTGTGAGATTGTAATAATTTTCATGTGGTCTCACCATAGGCAACTGAGTTTGTTCAAAAACTGCCTCTGTACACCCAGCTGTGAATGGGTACCCGGTGGTAACCTTCTAGCGTCTCACAGGCAGCAGGGGTTATCCGGTATCAATGTGATAGCGTCTTGAGCATGCACAAGTGCGTGGAAACAGGTGTTTTGTAAATATCCGTTATTATTATATTCTTCTTGGGTTACGATCGACCTAGATAGTAACATGATATCCACATCAACAAAAAGCGTTCCGACAGATGTGGATAAAAATTGCAAACAATAACCAGCTAAATTGAGGAGGAAAAGCAACTTTACCTCTCAGTTGAACATATCATATAGCTCCCACAGCTGGGTTTGATCTCACAATAGATTATCTTTGGAATAAACATATTGAACAAATTATAAAGAAAGTGTACTCTATGGTATATTGCTTCCAAATTTAAATACCGTCTATCTCGGAAATCTCTAGAGGCTATGTACAAATAATTTATCTTACCGGTCTTTGATTATTGCAGTCATATAAGGGATAAGTGTAAGGTAGATCAGGGCCTGTTATTAGAAAAACGTCCCTTCGATGTTTTAAGAACAATTTGTGGGATTTCCCGAGGCGCTAGTCGTGGAAAAAATATGTATAAAGAATCTAAATTTCAATCTCTCGGTCAAATTCGAAATAACTCCAAAATGTTGCTCTATTACAAAATGGTTAATAGATAACTGATAGTTTCTGAGATAAATATCTTTCTGATCTCGTTCATTCGCGTGTTTCCACTTTAAGTAATTACTCGTTAAGGAATAGTTCCAACTTAAAAGGTATTTAATGCAAAACAGAAAACTATGCAAAATCAATATTCCATCTGCCACGAGCTTATGGAACACCTTACCATCAGACCTGACCATAGCGGGTTCCATGGGATCTGAAAACGACTTATCAGTAAGAACTATGACTATATACTACATCTTGATCTGGACTATCGATCGAGAATGTGTCAAATCTTTCACTCCCAACTCAGACTAGGATGTAGTGACTTGAACGCCCATAAGTGTGATAGACACACTCTGAAAATGCTTCTTGTTCCTGCGGTTCTATACGCGAGCATACCGCTCATTACTTTTTCATATGTCCAGATTATAGCACCCTGAGATCAAATACTTTTATACCATGGACTTTAACCTCATTTCTGTACAATATGGAAATCCTTAGAAACCGTAGACGTTAATAAGAACATTTGTGTGGGCATTAAGCAGACAAATATCTTTAATTAATATTAATATCACTAGAATGAATATGAATAGGTAGTTTATTCCTCATAACCGACATACCTCCATTACATTCGCTGGCATTATCTACTAAGTATCTATTATCTACTATCTATTTCTACCTTGATATATAGTATTGTTTTCATTTGTGCTTTGTGTATTACTGGAGCCGGATTAATGTTTACCGATCCGGTCCGAATACAAGTTTCGGAAATACATAATTGTGATTAAACCAATATACCATATGACAATCTATGGACAATATCTCCCGCGATCAAAATATAGACTGTACGGGGTCCGATCCACAAAGCGTTCGTAATGTTGCGACTTATCGTAACTGTATAGTTTGTGATTGGCTTACAAATGACGTAGAGCTACAAATGCTTTGTGTATCGGGTCCCTGGAGTTTAGACAGCTCTCAAACATTACGTCTACATGTTTTTTTACTTTTAAAATATGTTTTGCTCTAAAACTTTTAAAACTTAAAGTGAAAATTATACATAATACAGAAATGTGAAAGGTTATATTGGACTTCTTGCATGGGAAAATCAATATATGTTCCTTATCAAGACCCTTATCGTCTTGTGGCGGCAAATTTATTTCATTATACTCGAATCTCTAGTCAGCATATCTATTTGAAAACACAATTACCAAGCTGCAAATTGTTTTCTTTAATGCAAAAATTAACGTGGTTTTAAACACATATTAAGCAAAAGTTAATTCCATTTTTATTTGCACAAAAAACTAGGTATACTAAGTACGTTGTTTATTATGCTCATATTGCCGACGGGAATGCCGAAAGAATCTGAATTAAGACCTACTGATGGATCTAAGATTCGTACCACCGGGATGGGTAGGACATGGGTATTCTGGATCATACACGCACAAACGCACAAACGCACGCACGCACAAACGCACAAACGCATTAAACGTGTGGTATGTCTATCTGGTGGTGCACCTTCCCTTGTAGCAATTATAACTTAATCTGTATCTTAGTATTCGAATATTAGTAATAAGACAATTCCAATGCCAAATGTTGCTGTCTCAACCGTTTACTTTTAGGACACCGTGTAGAGTTTTGACATTTTTTTTCTGTAACGGTATCTTTAATTTAGATCAAATGACTGAACCAGTTTTAAGTACTAACACACACTTTTTATTTGAATTTGATAAAACTAAAGCTAAACCAGAAGAACCTCCAGGGATTTGTTTTCGCCGTTCCACTTTCATCAAAAGATATCAATCTATATAAATATACATAAAATAAAACCATTTTTTTGCAGGCACGTCGCGGATATTGGTTTAAGCATGTTTTCACATACTTTCTATAAACCTAGCAAGCTAAATCCGTAACGGTTACAACATCGAGGACGTTAAACTCGATAGCTCACCTTATCAACACTCCATGAAGTCTTTGGGTCTCGTAATCCAGCTCTTTAAGTAAAGACAGGTCTGACCCGTTCATGCTGAATATATCTTTACTGTCACCGACGACGTCATACGTGACGTTGTCATCCGGGTCTTTAGCTTCAACCGAGAAGATGACCTTGCCAAGCGCGGCGTCTTCTGGGACATCAATCTGGGTGACGACACCAGGCCAGGGGGTGAGGAACACTGGAGGTTCATCTGCGGAAAACGAATCACTATGTTATATACATCCATCCATCCGACCTTCCGTACATCTACATATCTATCCTCATCTATCCATCCACCCATCCAGATATCTGTCTGCATTTTATATATCTGTTCATCATCCATCCAGACAGATGTGTATTTTTTTTTATTTATCTATAAATCAATCCATCCATCATCTGTCTAACCCAGTCAAAAAAACTCTTTGTCTGTCCTTTTTACATCATCCATCCATCCATCTATCCATCTATCCAACCATCCATCCAACCATCCATCCATCCATCATGCCATCTATGCTGCCATCCATCCTACCAGCCGGCCAACAATCCGTCCAACCGTCCATTCATCCAAAGATCCAACCATCCATCCATCCATCCATCCATCCAAAGATCCAGCTAGACTAGGCCCGATTCTGGGAAAAGGCTCAAATAAAAGATGTTGAGGCATTTTTAGTAGGATTTGGTATTCAGGCTATTTTACCTATTTAAAGGGTGCTGATCACGAAAAAATAGGATACCAAGCTGAAAAAAGTGTTTTTGACCCTCAAAATTGAAAAACAAAATGGCCGCCCAAATCGTCTAAAATAGGTGGGCACTGTATTTTCGCCTATGACTGTATCTCTATTTTTTAGATTTTGGAAACTTGACTTTTTAAGACATTTAAAGAGTGCTGATGACGAATAAATAGGATTCCAAGCTGAAAAATGTTTTTGGACCCTCAAAATTGAAAAACAAAATGGCCACCATAGTCACCTCAAGAAGTGGTAGGTGTGCATGGCATATTATCACCTGTGACTGTATATCTATTTTCAATTTTTTTTTAAACATGACTCTTTTTGACATTTAAAGGGTGTTGATCACGAAAAACTAGGATACCAACTGAAAAATAATTTTATGACCCTCAAAATTGAAAAACAAAATGGCCGCCAAATCACCTTTTTGGTGGAAAAATACTGAATGCTTACATTGGTATATTATGAAATATAAATGACCACTGTACTAAAATGTTAATATTGTTGTCACACAAAGTATTGAACTGCCTTTCATTAAAAAGAATAAATAAATTGGATTTTGGTTAAAAAAAATTTATTTCACCCAAAAATTAGTTTTTAAATGTATTTTATCAAAATTGTCTTAGATTATTAGGAATAACAAAACGTTTTAGTTGTTACATAGTTCAGATGGTTAGCAACACATTCTGAAACATTACTGGGCACAGTTGTAAATGTTTTGAAGGTTTTTTTAAAAAAAGGTGCTAATTTGACAATTAATAAAAATGAACGATCCCTATACTTGTGATGGCTGCCTTGCTAAGACATGTCAAGTTGCTGGTGCAATTAGTGTAAGTATTCATCCTTTTCCATTGATATGTTTTGTAAATTCTTAATGGAAAAATGAATCTACTTTCAAAAAGGGCAAATATAACAATATAATGAATAATATACTGCATTTTCAGTTACAAAAAGTAAGTGAAACCCTCATGTTCAAACCCTATTCACTGGAAGAAATGTATGTTTTGTCAAGAAGTTAATTTGAAACAACATCTCTATTCCATGATGACATTAAACACCAGCTCTGATATTCTTGAAGCTTCTTGATTTGATCAGGAGTTAAACTTGCCTGTGTATGTGACCTAATTGCTGCCGAGGATAAATAGCATTTACCTCGTCTCAGTTCCTGTAAAAGAACTACCTAAAATAAATATTTTTAAAAGAATGCTCATGACAGTAACACAGGCCCGCCAATGGCATGGATGACCTCTGAGTTGCGTTATGCAGCAGGTAAGGGTCATGTTCTCGGGTTCAGCGGTGTCTGGAAACGGTACGAACAACCAGCAGTGAAATCTCAACACTTCCACTGCTAAGTCGTTAGTTAGTCGCCAGGCAACATTCAGGGAGAAGTTTCAAGTTTACGTTTCAGACTTTAGTACATTTGTGTAGACATATGGATCCCTTACTGATTGCGAAACCTTACTTTTACCTCCTAGGTACAATGGAGTCGCCATCTCTCAAATAGCAGAGGCTGATGAAAATCTGACAATGCCAACTTACAACCGTCATGAAGACATCTTCCTTGAATTAGTTCATGTTCCTTTGAAACTTCGGGGTGACTTGATAGATACAACATGTTATACTGGTGTTGGGGTTGATGAACAAAGTGTTATCAATTGCATACCGGACAGTGTCTACATGTTCCTTAAACATGTGTATGTACACTTCATCCGAGATCCAAAGGTCTTGTTCAGTTGTTTCATAAAGCAGGACATACTTTAAGTTACAGGCAGGTCATGCAACTTGTCACATCCTTCGCAGAATCAACGTTGAAAACAATGAATCACTCCACTGGCTCTGTGATACCACCAAACATCATACCAAACAGATTTGTTTTCTTCACAGCAGACAACATTGATATCCTGGATTATACCTTGGTTGGAAAAAACACATTTCTTGGTCCCGATGTGATGTTTGACACAACTATATATCTTCAAACCAGCTTCCAATTAGGCCAGGTTCTGTACAGGAGGATCCCTTTGTTGCACAAGACGACCAACCATGTCCCAGATGTGCTCCAAAGGGTTAAGATCGGGGCTCATCCAATCGTGAGATACGTCCAAATATCAACCAAAACTTTAGATATTCCAGATGCCATGTCAACTGCCAGCATATTCTGTTGTATCGTTGTTGCCATTTCATGCACTTACAGCCTATGATTCCACATCCTACTTCCATCACCATCATCTCCTAAAGTATTTGGGCGCTGGCAACCAAGACAAGACCAGATCCACTGAAGAATTTGTAAGACAGGGATACGGTGTTCATAGTGTTCAGACTGTGAACACACTGCGTAGGGTTTTGTTTGAGAAATATAATCTTGCAAAACAAGTGCCACCACATCCAGCGTGTCCATTACCAAATCATGATCTAGAGGAAAGCATATGAAACTACTCCTTCACCTCCCGAATTCACAGAGATGGGTTGGAGAAGAGCAAACAAGGGTCTACAAAGGTCAAGAATCAAAGTCAAGTAACAAGGATGCTTATTTAAAGAATCTTTGAATATTATGAGATGTTGAATTCAAACCTGTTTATGGTTGCGTTGACCAAATTTTTAAGCATAACATGAGAAATTACAAGTGTTTGCCACTGATATGGCAATGACCCCCGTCGCTAAAGAATGGAATATCTATATTTACTACTTTTATATTTTTTGGTCACATACAAGATGCCTGAAATGACTGGTGTCTGCATAATCACCAAATGTAGGCTGTCAACATAATTGAAAACATTAGGTGCAATGTTTTATGAGATATCGCGTTTAAATAAGTTTGAAAAGCTGTCAAAGTGTCGTGTTGACCTTGAAGATAAGGTCAAAGTCACCCAAATCAACTGGTGTCTGCGTAATCCCCCAATGTAGGTTGTCATCAAATTTGAAGACATTAGGTACAACAGTCCATGAGATGTCGCGCTTACAAGAGTTTGAAAAGTGTTCAAAGTGTCATGGTGACCTTGAAGATAAGGTCAAGGTCACTCAAATCGACAGGTGTCTGCATAATCCCCCAAAGTAGGCTGTCCCCAAATGTGAAGACATTGAGTACAACAGTTCATGAGATATCGCGTTAACAAAAGTTTGAAAAGTTGTCAAAGTGTCGTGGTGACCTTGAAAATAAGGTCAAGGTCACCCCAATCGACTGGTGTTTGTGTAATCCCTTGAAAATAAGGTCAAGGTCACCCCAATCGACTGATGTTTGTGTAATCCCCAAATGTAGGCTGTCCCCAAATTTGAAGAAATTGGCTACAACAGTGCGTGAGATATCACTTTAACAAGAGTTTGAAAAGTGGTCAAAGTGTCGTGGTGACCTTGAAAATAAGGTCAAGGTCACCAGAGTCGACTGGTGTCTGGGTAATACCCCATTGTAGGCTGTCACCAAACTTGAAGACATTGGGTACAACAGGTCATGAGATATCGCGTTAACAAGAGTTTGAAAAGTGTTCAAAGTGTCGTGGTGACCTTGACGATAAGGCCAAGGTCACCCAAATCGACTGGTGTCTGCGTAATCCCCCAATGTAGGCTGTCACCAAATTTGAAGACATTGGGTACAACAGTTCATGAGATATCGCGTTAACAAGAATCGGGAGGTACGGACGGACGCCGCTGAATACATAGTCCCCCGTTCCGCGTTGCAGCGGGGGACAATAATTCTTATGTATATGAGAATCAAGTGTGAACAGATTTAGCATTATTGTTATGAAGTTTGTATGTTTCAGCTGATATATCGTGTTGAGAATTGTTTGCTAACGTTTCATTGGTTATCTGTATTCTTTTCATCCGAAATGATTAAAAATGTTCATTGAAAATATGTAGTTGTGTATTGGTATAACTCTGAATACTATCTGTTTCCCCACGTAATCAGCACAAAATCAGCTATTTTTGCGGCTATTTTGTTTTTCAATTTTGAGGTTCATAAACACTTTTTTCAGTTGGTATCCTATTTTTTCGTGATTAGCACCCTTTAAAAAGTCAGGTTTTAAAAATGTAGGGAATAGATATGCAGTCACAGGTGATGACATAGAGTGCACACCTACCACCTACCAATGGCGGACATTTTGTTTTTCAATTTTGAGGGTCCATAAACACTTTTTTTCAGCTGGGAATCCTATTTATTTATCATCAGCACTCTTTAAATGTCTTAAAAAGTCAAGTTTCCAAAATCTAAAAAATAGAGATACAGTCACAGGCGAAAATACAGTGCACACCTACCACTATTTTAGACGATTTGGGCGGCCATTTTGTTTTTCAATTTTGAGGGTCAAAAACACTTTTTTCAGCTTGGTATCCTATTTTTTCGTGATCAGCACCCTTTAAATAGATATACTAGCCTGGATACCAAATCCTACTGAAAAATGCCTCTTGCATTACTTTTATCCACAATCGGTCCTAGTCTAAACCATCCAACCATCCAACTGACGCTCTCAGACAAACAGGTTGTCGCCAAAAGGATGACCTCTATTTCTACAGGAATATACAAATAAAGCAACAACAGCCATACCTTTTGAAAGTTTCCAATATCCTTTTTTCTTCATCCCTGTAAAGAGTGAAACAGCAACTAATGGATCTTTTATGTTGTGTGCGGTCCGTAGTATTTCGTTCTGTCCAACATGATTACCAATTCCTGCTGAAACGACACCGGACATCGCCCAGTTTATCCAGAATGTCTTGTACGCCTTGCAATCGAGGAGTTTCTTGGCGTACATGGACGTTTTCATTCCTCCCCTAGCGGAGCGTGTTGTCAAAACGGAATTTGGTTGTCCTTTCTTGTCAATTATGTAAAAAACAGCTTCTTTGGCCTTCTTTGTCTTTATCATCACTCCAGCTTCTTTGCATGCCTTCACCTCGAAGACTAACTTTTGGCTACACGCATCCAGATTCTTCACAGGTACACTTTTGGTCATGGCGCCAATTGTGCGGTATTCCTGTACATCACCTTGTAACAGACATATATAACGTGATATGGTTAATGGTTCACTCTGAACATCACCTTGTAACAGACATAGATAACGTGATGTAGTGAACGGTTCACTCTGAACATCACCTTGAAACAGACATAGATAACGTGATGTAGTGAACGGTTCACTCTGAACATCACCTTGTAACAGACACAGAAAACGTGATGTAGTGAACGGTTCACTCTGAACATCACCTTGTAACAGACATAGATAACGTGATATAGTGAACGGTTCACTCTGAACATCACCTTGAAACAGACATGGATAACGTGATGTAGTGAACGGTTCACTCTGAACATCACCTTGTAACAGACATAGATAACGTGATGTAGTGAACGGTTCACTCTGAACATCACCTTGTAACAGACATGGAGAAAAATGGTTCGAGATGTAGTGAACGGTTCACTCTGAACATCACCTTGTAACAGACACAGAAAACGTGATGTAGTGAACGGTTCACTCTGAACATCACCTTGTAACAGACATAGAAAACGTGATGTAGTGAACGGTTCACTCTGAACATCACCTTGTAACAGACACAGAAAACGTGATGTAGTGAACGGTTCACTCTGAACATCACCTTGTAACAGACACAGATAACGTGATGTAGTGAACGGTTCACTCTGAACATCACCTTGTAACAGACATAGATAACGTGATGTAGTGAACGGTTCACTCTGAACATCACCTTGTAACAGACATGGATAACGTGATGTGTAGTGAACGGTTCACTCTGAACATCACCTTGTAACAGACACAGAAAACGTGATGTAGTGAACGGTTCACTCTGAACATCACCTTGTAACAGACATAGATAACGTGATGTAGTGAACGGTTCACTCTGAACATCACCTTGTAACAGACACAGAAAACGTGATGTAGTCACCTTGAACGGTTCACTCTGAACATCACCTTGTAACAGACATACAGAAAACGGTTCACTCTGATCACCTTGTAGTGAACGGTTCACTCTGAACATCACCTTGTAACAGACATAGAAAACGTGATGTAGTGAACGGTTCACTCTGAACATCACCTTGTAACAGACACAGAAAACGTGATGTAGTGAACGGTTCACTCTGTAACATCACCTTGTAACAGACACAGAAAACGTGATGTAGTGAACGGTTCACTCTGAACATCACCTTGTAACAGACATAGAAAACGTGATGTAGTGAACGGTTCACTCTGAACATCACCTTGTAACAGACATAGAAAACGTGATGTAGTGAACGGTTCACTCTGAACATCACCTTGTAACAGACACAGATAACGTGATGTAGTGAACGGTTCACTCTGAACATCACCTTGTAACAGACATAGATAACGTGAGTGTTCAGTGAACATCACCTTGGTGATGTAGTGAACACTCTGAACATCACCTTGTAACAGACATAGATAAACGTGATGTAGTGAACGGTTCACTCTGAACATCACCTTGTTGAACAGACATAGAAAACGTGATGTAGTGAACGGTTCACTTCAACATCACCTTGTATCACCGTGATGTGTAACGGTTCAGACATCACCTTGATAACGATAACGTGATGTAGTAAACGGTTCACTCTGAACATCACCTTTTAACAGACACAGAAAACGTGATGTAGTGAACGGTTCACTCTGAACATCACCTTGTAACAGACATAGATAACGTGATGTAGTGAAACGGTTCACTCTGAACATCACCTTGTAACAGACACAGAAAACGTGATGTAGTGAACTGGTTCACTCTGAACATCACCTTGAACAGACACAGAAAACATGTAGTGAATGGTTATACTCTGAACATCACCTTGATACAGACATCTACCACGTGATATAGTCAACAAAACATTCTGAACATCACATCGTTACCGACATAGATAAGGTGTTATAGTCAACAAAATATTCGTGGCATCACCTTGTAACAAGCATATATAACGTGATATCGTCAACAGAAAATTCAGGGCGTCACTCTGTAACAAGCATAGGTAACGTGATAATTATACTAAAAGCAAGACAAAGTGATATAGTCAACAAAACATTCTAAGCATCACCTTGTAAAAATCATAGATAACGTGATGTAGCAAATGGTTCACTCTGAGCATCACCTTGTAAAAATCATAGATAACGTGATGTAGCAAATGGATCACTCTGAGCATCACCTTGTAAAAATCATAGATAACGTGATGTAGCAAATGGATCACTCTGAGCATCTTCTTGTAACAAACATGGATACTGTTATGTACTTTATCACTGAACACAATGGGCATCACTTTGTAATAAAAACTATTTTCTTGTCAACAAGACATATTTGCTAACAGCAGAGTCGATGTGTACTACTCCGTCTGTATCATGAGTAGTTGTTTACAAGCAACATCCAACATACAAGAGTTTGCGAAAAGGTATCCTTTCCCCTGGTGGCAATCGTCACAAAAACATGCAACGACAAGTCAATTGTTCACATGAAACAATACATAAACCCAATGCTCATAATACGAATCCGAAATTCATGAGACCCGTTTTAATTGAAAAGATCTGACTTTTACACAGAATTAATGACGTGCTGTTTGATTCCTGGACAGCTGCACCTTCATGATCATACAACAGGCTGCCTATTTTCAAGTGAGTGAGTTTAGTTTTACGCCGCACTCAGCAATATTCCAGCTATATGACGTCGGTCTGTAAATAATCGAGTCTGGACCAGACAATCCAGTGATCAACAGCATGAACATCGATCTACGCAATTGGAATACGATGACATGTTTCGACCAAGTCAGCGAGTCTGACCACCCGATCCCGTTAGTCGCCTATTAAGACAAGCATGGGTTACTGAAGATCAATTCTAACCCGGATCTTCATTATATTTTCAAGCTTTATGTTCATTTAGAGAATCGCATACGAACAGTCGGAATGGCGCTTTAAGGGGAAGTAAGCAAGGCACGTTTCTGGGCTTATAGAAGCAGTATGAAGGTGGGAATACCTACATTGGTACCAAGTACGGAATCGAACGCGAAATTCGGAGTGATGATCGGCAGTTTTCACTTTAACGACACCTGTTTGAAAATCGTTACGTGAATATTTATTAGGGTCGTGAAAGTTACCTGTTCAAAAATGTTTTCTTATAGCGTTGATCACCAAGGGCTTTATGCAGTGTCAGCGAATGTTCAAATGCCAACAAACTAAGACATTAGTCGATGACTATATTCAGTCAATGTTTTATTTATGGCAGTATGCTATTTACGATAGCTTTACACTGTGTTAATCCTTGAGTAGCACTGCCACGAATAATTTCAGCTGTTGATAAATCTCACCAATTCGTAAAGCAATTCAAACATTAAAACTTTATCAAATAAGTTAATCACTTATAAAATCGAAGAATTCACATTGCCATAACTGAAAGAGATATAAAGAAAATATGAAATCCGGGTAGATAATTTATTTGTTTCAGTGGAATATCTCTTTGTTCCAATTATTTTGTTATTTTTTCCGTTTTTTCTCTCTATTTTAAAATATTTTCTCGTTATATTAAGTTTCTTTAAAACAACTAATAATTTCGAAATTATGAGCAATAACCGAAAGTTCATGAAAATAACTGAAATGAGAAGAATTAAACCGATGCAACGAGGCAGCAATCGAAATGTCGAGTTCTTAAAAGAAACTTCAATTACCGAAGAAGTAATAGAAATTACGAAAATATATTCGAAGCTTGAACATTCGACATACATAGACAAATGATTACAATAACGAGAAATTTCGGTCTAAAAAGAGATTTATGCAGCAAAAGTGGCACTCTTAGATCCATGTAGAAATATAATGGGTATCCCTCTTGAAACATACACAGTAAATAAAACGTGCTATACTGTGATTCGCTTACACAGAATGGAGGATAGTTACATTTCAATACATATTCATGAGCTAAGGTTCCGTGTCCCATGAGGGCATATTTTAAAGACGATCGATCTAAATGTAGAGATGAGTAGACGCCAGAATGTCACAATTTGCACATGAAGCGTGACAGCTTCATAACACTGTGTGCACTGGCTTCCCGTAAATACATTGACCTTCTGAATCTGATCTACACAGATTGCAAAAGTTCGGTCGATGGAATGAAGTGAAATGTGAAGCATGGCTACAAAGAGGGCAGGAAATGTGATGATTTTGAAGAGGTCAGTATTGAGCATATTGGGATATCATAATTTTGTAATTTTATAAAACTCAGCTCGGCCATTGTACAGCTGTATGGAACCAGATTGTTATCCTTTAGTTGCATGGAACCAGACTGTTATTGTACAGATGAATGGAACCAGACTGTGATTCTACAGCTGCATGGAACCAGACGGTTATTGTACAGCTGCATGGAACCAGACAGTTATTGTACAGCTGAATTGAACCAGGCGGTTATTGTACAGCTAAATGGAAACAGATGGTTATTGTACAGCTGAATTGAACCAGGCGGTTATTGTACAGCTGCATGGAAACAGGAGGTTATTGTACAGCTGAATGGAACCAGAAGTTATTGTACAGCTGAATGGAACCGGACGGTTATTGTACAGCTGTTTGGAAGCAGAATGATGTTGAACTGCTGTATGGCACCAGACTCTATTGTACAGCTGCATGGCCATATTTACAGACCGCCATGTAGCTGCACTATTGCTGAGTGCAGCGTTAACCTAAACTCACTTACTCACTACAGCTTTACACAACATGGCGCCCGTGTTAGTGTAGTACACCACGTCCAGACACTCTTACAGCTGTACACAATATGACGGCCGTGTTAGAGTAGTACACCACGTCCCGACAGTGATACAGCTGTACACAACATGGTGGCCGTGTTAGAGTAGTACACAATGTCCCGACAGTGGTACAGCTGTACAGAACATGGCGGCCGCGTTAGTGTAGTATAACACGTCCTGACAGTGGTACAGCTGTACACAACATGGTGGCAGTGTTAGAGTAGTACACCACGTCCTGACAGTGGTACAGCTGTACACAACAT